TGCATTTTTAACACAAGACATCAAAGGCACAACGTCGGAAAGAGCAGCGATGCTTCTTTCTGTCACCATGACTACTCGCCAATTACTGTGTCATGTCGGGCAAGTGACTTACTTATCTTTCCGGGTCCGCAAACTCTCAGCTATAAATGGAAGCGGGAAAGCGCCCCAGCGTTCCTTCTTCAACCTTCTCTGCCCTTGTTCTTCTACACTGATGACAGTTGTGACTGCCTGAACAATATGAGCCTTCTGTAATCAAGTCCCCGTCTCCATAAAGGCTAAAGCGAGGCCGTTATTAATGACCTTCTCCAAACTTTCCAATGGATTCCCATTTATCAAAAATAAAAACTTAATTTCTTCTAGTGGTCTCACAACATAATTCCCACCCCTTGTCTTTTCTCCCCAATCACCTATCAGTTATTCCTCTAACTTCAGCTTTCTTCTTTCTGTTAGTTTGCGAAGAGATGTCACAATGACGTAGTGTAGACGAGGAGGCTTGAACACGTCCAGGCCTTTCCCTGCCTATGCCATACTTTCGCGTCTTGGCATTTTGTAGTGCAAACATTTGTTTAAAGCCCCCAGCCTTCTAAGCGCTGCCCCAATGGCACTGTGTTACAGCTGATAGGCTATGTTTTTGTTTCCATTAGGACCAGACCGTCTCTCATGTCTTTGAGATTTCTTTCCCCACTACAGGATATCCAGGTATATAGAGGGTATTGCTTTTTAGACTACACATTTCTGTTGCTGAATTCAAGTTTACTTCTCTGATGTTTAGAGAACACATCTTGGGTGTCATCTTACTGAGGTACGTTTAGGATGTAGAATTTTATCTGACCTGTTGAATTATTCTGTGCATGCCCCAAGGATGAGCACCCCATTGTTAACCGGTACACATATTGTCAGGTAAAAACAGTAGATAGCATTATTCAGATCTTCTACATTCTCACCAATTCTCTCCTTTCATGATCAACCACTAAGAGTGGGGTTCCTGACCTTCCTACTGAAAGTTTGGGGACTCTAAATTGTCATTATTAAAGCAGTTACCTCAGCTTTCTCTAAACAAATACATTTATTCTTCAATAATTTCATGCATGTATGTAGTGGGTTTTAGTCAGTTCTACCCCATCAACCTCTCTCATGCCCCCTCCCCTGAGCTTTCCTCTGTTGAGGGTTTATGTGCTATGATTATTGACATATTTTGTTATTAGTTTTAGAAATCTATTTATGAAGTGGTATGTTTCAGACAATAAGTAGTTGACCACTGTCTTTTTAGCCAATTTAGAATGACTTGTGGCTAAACACAGAAATGTCTTTAATATACACTCTGGTCATTGGTTTGATCCTGAACTGCCCCCCATACGTTTATGTTTTGAACAGATGTAGTACTATGTTGGAGACTATGAAGGCTTTAGGGGGTGAGGCCAGGATTGGGCCATAGGTCAAGGGAAAGAGGCCTGGTTCTTGCCTACATCCCTTTAATACTGGTCTCTGGCAAGTGAAGAACCTCTGTTCCACACGTGTGTGGCAACGAATGGAGGCTACCACCACCGTGGCATTCCCATTAGCATGAAAACATGTTTTCTAGACAGAATTTTTTTCTTCAATTTTTGTTTAAGTTCCCATTTTGGGTAGTGAGTCATCTCTCCTTTTGTCTATATGTGAATCCCCATTTAATTTGTTTTTATTTTTAAAAGATACTTTCACCATATAAAGAAATCTTGGTTAAAAGTTTTTATTGTTCAGTAATTTAGACATTCCCTTATATTGTCATTTAGACAGAATGGCTTTGTATAAGAAAGGACGACCATGTTATTTTTGTTTTCATTTCGACATCTACACTCCTGTTGTTTTCAAGATTTTATCTCTATTACTGTCTTATTCCCAGTTTCACCATTTTTCTTAGCTTCTTTTTTTTTTTTGAGGTTCATTATTCTTAGATACATGGAATTTATCGGTTCTTCCATGTTGTACAATTTCTATGGCTGTGATGAGGCACCATGACCAAAAGCAACCCGGGGAGGAAAGGGTTTATTTCCTTTTAAACTTCCAGGTAACAGTGCATCCGTGAAGGAAGTCAGGGCAGCAAGGCACGAAGGGCAGGAATCTGGAAGCAGGAACGGAAGCAGATCATGGAGGAACGCTGCTTACTGGTTTTCTTCCATGATGTGCTTAGCTTGCTTTTTAGGAGGATCCAAGATCCCTCCCCAAGGAGTGACACCGTCCCCATTAGACCGAGTCCTCCCAAATCAGTCATTAATCAAAAAAAAAAAATCTTCCACAAACTTGCCTACAGGCCAATCTTAAGGAGACATATTCTCAATTATGGGTCCTTCTTCCTAGCTATGTCTAGGTTCATGTCAAGTTGACAAAACTCAACCAGCACATGTGGGTTTCTAGCTTCATCCAATTTTACAGTTTTGGCCTTCATTCTCTTAAGTCTTCTGCTACCCATACCTCCCCCCCCGAAACTCCCATTATATGGATGCTAGTGTTCTTGTCTGTGTTACTGCCCCACATTTCAGTGATGTTTACATTTTTGGTTTTTGGGGATTTTTAAAATCTATACTCAAGTTCACTGGCGTTTTCTTTATGGTATCAAGTCAGGTTAAAAACCTCTGAGGAACATTTTATAGTCAGTATATTCTTGACCTATAGATGCTTCTTAGCATTTTTATATGCTTACCCTTTCTTTTTATCATGCTCAACTTTTGTTTAGCCTTTCTGAACATACAGGAAACAAATACAATAAGTGTTTTATAGCTCTTGTCTGCTACCTCAATTATCTTGGCCTTTTCCCCCTTTCTGCTCATTGTCTTCTCCCTACATGCATGACCTTGTTGTGTTCCTTAAAATAACGTTAGTAATCTGCTGTTGTTTGGTTTGGGCACCCAGTTGAGCTTCTTGGAAGCAGCTGCATCTTATCCGAAGTCATTAATCTAGAACTATCTTACTCCCATTCCTAAAATAGTCACTCGCTGCGGATTTGATATGATGTTTACTGAACTATGAAGGTCCCTTCTTGACCTTGGCATCATAAATGAAACCCAGCCTTGTGGGCAGCCCAAGGATTCTGTAACTCATCTTTGACATTGTCTCACTCGTGCTAAGCAAAGTTGCCTCTAGTGAAAGTCCACATCGGAACGCAGCCTGCGACTTGAGGAGACTCTCCCGCGTCTCTGAGGATCTCAGTCTTCCTTTGCTCAGCTTTAGTTACTCTCCAATCTTAGCTTCCTGGCTTTCTAAACATCTGCCTCCATTTCCTCAACTCATCAAGATTGGCAAACCTTGAGTGGTTCCCCCAGAAACTTCCTACAAGCAGCCTACTGATGTATGCACAAGGTTTGGGAGGGGGGGAACTTATTGTGGTTTGACCAGTACTTAACACTGAAATATTCATGTTCTAGGAACCCGTCAGAAGCCAAAATGCTTAGAGTGCAAAAATACACATACTGAGCTCTCTGAGAGATTTTTATTGATGTGTTTTTCAATGATTTGTATTAAAGAAGAAAAGCACCTACCTATTTGGGTGGGGCTTGAGGATGGGACACTCACTGAATGTATAATGTATTCCAAGGAAAGGCTCACTCTAGCTTCAAAGTCACTAGTACTAGAATGGAAGTCACCATATGATAACATGGCTAACCCCTCCTCATGTCCTCCTAGCTGGTCCATTCCCAGTGAGCCATCATTTTGCTTTGGATTGAAGGGCTCCATGACATCAACCTTATTGGGGGCTCTTCCAATGCAGGTAGACCAAAGGATGTCCCATTGCAACATCCTTTTGGCCACGATTTGATATTCTCACTCCACACTGAACTGCTATTTTATGAGAAATAGAGTAGATGGCAAGGAGAACCCGTGGTTAAATATGAACCAGGGCAGGGTCTAACACCCTTACTTTCTCATGTTACTTAGAAACGAGCCCAGTCTACAAAATAAGGGGGAACAAAACTCCAGAAGTTTTAGCTTTATGCTTCATTTAATAGTTTCACGTGTTGAATTTTATGGCCTTTAGAATGTGGGCAGAGATTGAATTTCACTTTTAAAAGGAGTACTTTGCTCTGTGGCCCGGTTCAGGACCATCCGATAACAAATTAATTCTCCCCATAAATACTTAAATGTACTTAAGCTTGCGCTTACCCTTGGTCTTCTATTCTGTTTGACTTTTATAACAACATCCATTTTGCCCAGCGAGTGTCTGTTGTCAGCTGCTTCTCGATGAACCCAAAAGGCATTGAGGTCCCCAGCAAGATGCTGAGCAATCGAGTCTCAGCTGAGAAAAGAAGAAAACCCAGACCATGTCGAGTGTTCCTTCCCTGATTCATACACACACACGTTGGTTGTGCCTTTTATCAACTTCAAACTTAGAACTCCCGGGGTTTCTTAAACTTTCTCGAAATAGCTTCATGCAGCATCTGGGGTTCTTGGTTGGATGCTAGAACAACCCAAGAAGGATTTCACTTCCCCAGTACTCTGGCTGCAGCCTTCGCTAATTCGATCAGAATATTGGTGTTTGGGCCTATGCGTAAGTCTTGTGTGTATGTATACATTCGTGTGTGTGTGTGTGTGTGTGTGTGTGTGTGCACATATGTGTGCAGATGCGCTTGTACTTTACCATATGCCTCTTTTGGTTTGAAACAGGGTCTCTCTATCACCGAACCCCGATCTTGAGGATTCAGCGAGAGTGGCTAGCCAGCCAGCATTGGGGATCCTCTTGTCTCTGTCTTCTTTGCGCTAGGATGTCCTCCTATACCTCTATGCTGGCTAGTTTTACATAAACTTGACTGCTGCGGGAGTATCTTCCGCTGCTTCAGCCAATAGTCGCTGAAGCACGAGCCCACGGTGCTGTGGGAGGGTCTTCCGCTCCGTCAGCCAATAGCCGCTGAAATACCAGCCCACTGGGGTGTGGTAGATTTCTCTTTTAAAAGAGCCACAGATCTCGGCTCGGGCCTCTTGGTTCCGGCGCTTGGTCCCGGCTCCTGCTCCAGCGACTAGGCTCCCTTCCTGACGGTTTATGGTGTATGTAAGTTTTACCCCCCAAAATAAATAACCCCTTAAAACATAACTGGTGTGGGATTGATTCGCCGATACTTGACCCAAGCTAGGGTACTCTGAGAGTGGAGATCCTCAGCTGAGAGACGACCTTCATAAGATCAGGCTGTAAGCAAAAGCCTCTAAAGCACTTTCTTCATTAGTGGTTGATGGTGAGGGCACGGCTGTAGGTGGTTGCCATCCTGGGCTGGTGGTTCTGGGTTCGAAAAGAAAGGAGGCTGAGCAAGCCAGGGGAAGCAAGCCAAGAAGCAATACCCCTCCATGGCCTCTGCACCAGCCCCTGACTCCAGGTCCTGCCCAGTTCCTCAGGGAATTCTGATTCAGGATATGTAAATCAAATCAACCCTTTATTCCCCAAGGTGCTTTAGGCGGTGGTGTTTCATCACCATCATAGCAGCTCTAAGCAAACTGCCATGTTTATTTTTTGCACGTGGGTTCTGGGCATCCAAACACAAATCCTCAAATTTGGACAGCAAGCACTTCACCAATGGAGTCGTCTCCACAGCCCCAAGAACTGGTGTTTTCAAACACTCCAGTATTCTACACTGCTAAGACCCTTTTGTGTAAAAGTAGCATATCACAAAACAATAATTAAACTCTTATAAAATCCCATCTGTGGACATATTAAAGAGACAGGGAAAGAGCATTGCTCAAACCATACGTCTGTTTTGGTCTGTCCAGTATTCCTTTAAAAGTACGATCTTCATTTAAAAAGAAAACGGGGATCTGATGATAAACATCTCAATGTTCAGCTTCTCTTGCAACCTTAGCAGTTCATGGCCCTGCCTCTGGCTTATCCCAAGGACAAGCAGCTGGTGCTAGTAGACGCAGACTCCTTTCGAGGGGGTTGTAAGTGTTGGGGTTTCCACAGGCCTCTCCCTCTCGGCTCCTCAACCTAGGCCCCACAGGCAGCGCTCTGGGTACCTCTTATTGTCTAAGTTCACAGAAGTCTGCCAAGGCCCAGCTTTCTTTGTCTCTCCCATTTCCAAACACAGGAGATTCCAGCTTGTGCCAAAGAGCCGCCTTTGATCTGAATGACTCAAGCCATCCCTTCACCTCTGGGTTGGAGAGCAGGTTGTCAGGTTCCTCTTCCCAGTCTCTACCAGCCCACTTCCCCAGCCCAGAGAGTTCATTCTGTACTTCTGCTCGAAAAACAAAAACAAAGCCTGGCTATACATCTCTTCTCCAAAGACTGTAGCTCCTCAAGGCTGAGTGGCAGCTGCTTGATCTGTTTTCCCACCCAGAGCTGTGCGTACGGAGAAAGCCAGCAAGGCCAGGCCACTCTGCTTTTGACCTTCCTAGGGCTGAATGCACGGCCAGTCAACAGCACGGCTGAAAATAGAACCCAGGACTTTCAAATCATTGTTCTGCTCGCTGAGCTGTGTTTCCTCCCATAAGGACCCGGTTAAGCAACGTCCTGTTTTGCAAAAGCAGAAGTCAGAATATACATATGAGAAACTGGACAGGGCACAAGGCCCCACCCTTAGGAAAGATGGTTCTGTGGCATAAAGAAGTGGGATTTGCTTCTAGTCCCACAGGTTTGGGGTTGGAAGCAGCCTCAGAGCATGTTAAAGGATTTGCTTTGCCATGTGTGGTATTTTGGAGGCGTTCTCAGAGTGCCAACTGTCAGGTATTTGCCTGACAACCCACTGAAAGGACATTTGTGAAAGTGATGGACGGAGGAATGTACAGAGGTGGTCAGCAGCCTGGAACCAATGTTCCTGTGTAGCAAGAGCCATGGGGAAAGAACCAGAAGCTTGGCAACAGGTCTTTCTGCTTCAAGGATATTCGTGTGGCCTATAGAGGGCAGATTGAAACCACGGAAATGCCCCCTAGGCAACACTGCAGTCAACCCAGACTTGGAGGCTGACCCAAGAGGACCATGTGATCAGGACCAGCCTGAGCTACAGGGCAGCTCATGGCTATTGTCTGGAGCTGCCTTAAGGGAAGGAAAGAGGAGGAGAGCAGAGAGGAGAGGACAGCAATTTAAGCAATTGCTGAAATCAAGCAATAAAGGAATTTTATTTGAGGTTAAACAGCAGAATTACAATCCATAACACACACACACACACACACACACACACACATGCACACACACAGGTGTCTGCTTGTATGTTGAGAGAACAAAGAAAAACCTAGGAATGTTATCAATAAAGGAATCTACACATGAACACTCCTGGTCACACTCAGTGCTTGAGGGAATGGCGACCTCTGATTGGTGGGTGGGGCTGTGCCTGTGTAAAGCTAGGTTTAAGGTTGTCATCAGCAGAGATCGACGGTCTGAGGGGTCCTCCTTGCCCTTAGCACCCCTACTCCACTTTATTGGGGGGTGGTAGGAATTTTCACAGAGGGCTAAGGGTGGTTGACATTTCCTGATGTTCCTAAGAAGAATTCAAACCCCTTTGACCACGCTAGGCCTATGTTGAAGGCTTGCTAGGTTTTCAGAGTTGATTCTCAGTGTTGATTCTCAGTGTACTCTTGGAGGGCAGAATATTAGGAGTCTGGCTGCTGTTGTTCCAATGTCCAGTGCAGGGCCCCTCCCCAGGATATATATAGCAGAGCAGATGCCGGGACCCAGACCAGATTTGTGGCATGTGAACCCTGCCTCTCCCGTCTCACAACTACCAGACTTCAACTGAACAACTTTGTATCTTTCTGTCTGTTAGACTGTAAGACATGATAACAGCAGGCCAGACCTCAGTTTAGCCAGTCTAAACTTGAAATGGGTTGTTACTCAAGGATTGCTTCAAAAGATTCTAGGCACAGATATTAAGTTTAGATACGGGTCATCAATAAACTACTTATGAATAGAAAGATATTGCATTCACAGTGTAGAATGGGTGGAAGACATCCCATGACTTCCTTCCTTCCTTGGAGCAGCCTGCTTTATATTCTAGAAGTAGGTGCTTGAGATGTCCATCCTAATTGCTCCATGCTACAGATAAGGCACCTAAGGCACAGGGAGGCTGGGTAATTTACTCATATTTACCCACCAGGCATCTGCAGGCATATGACAGGAAGGAAGGGCTGGACAGTGTACATACTGATACCACATTTCCACCATTATAGTGCCAATTGGGTACTATTTCCTAGGAAAAACGTGTAGGAAGCAGTTTATGATGTTACTCAGATGCACAGATACAATCATTTACTGACGCCTTGAAAGCAGCAAAAATTTTTAAAGTACCTGTGTGAGACGATGCCAGTAACTAACAAACCCATGCCTCGCTTAGCATATCAAAGGGTGCTAAAATAATAATTAGCCCTGGGAACCAAGAACAAGAACAACCAGTCATTCTGACAGACCTCAGTGCAACTTGATATGCGTGTGTCACACACTCAAAGTAACTTAAGAAGTGAACAAAAGACCATGTTGAAACTGGGAGCACCACGAACTCATTTTCTCTGTTAAGACATACTTAACTGTGAAGTGCTGTGTGTGTGTGCGTGTGTGCGTATGTGTGTGCGTGCGTGTGTGTGTATGTGAGTGTGTGCACGTGTGTGTGAGTGGGTGCTCCTGTGCATGTGTGTATGTGTTAGTGTGAGTGTATGTGTGTGTGTTATCGTTTTCCTGAATGTGGATGTGTCTACACTGCACACATACAAATATATTTGCATGTTTTTCTTATCTTTCAACTGCTTCCCCAGACATAAATAGGACTAGAAATGATGAGCTGCAAATATCGCTAATTCCCCTCCTGGGAAACTTTGAAAATTATAATTAGAGAACCTATTTCTGACGGAGGAGGGGTGGCATACCTCTCAGATCTTGAACTTAGCCTTTCACGGTTAAAACCGTACATCACATTTAGTTGGTTCTTTCCTTCCTTTTGCTTCTTCCTCCTTGTCTCCTTTATCCCTGTGAAACCGTGATGAAACTGAACGTGTGTCTTCAGAGAAAAACCAGTATCTGAACTCAGAGAAACACCTAGTAGTGGCAGCAGGAGTACAACCCACGGCAGCCCCAGATGCGGTTTGTGTCTGCAAGGGTTCACACCCTGAAAGCCAGGGGGAGATGCGTCTACACATCCCAGCTTCTGCAGAGTTCAAACTCCTTCCCGTGGGGAAAAACAATTCTATTGTATCAGCAACTCTGACCCTTGGGTTTCCCCTGCCCAGGACAACAACATGGCACAAGCAGCAAGATGGTTTCGAAAATGAAAACATCTCAGTGTCTGGCCCTGCTCATCTGCACATACGATGACAATGGGCCCATGTGAAGCCTAGCCATTTCTCCACCATCAGCGGAGAAGAACAAGGGGCCCTCTTCACTCAAGCAAGAAAACAGATGTTCCAGGACTCAGGCAAGGAGGAGGCCAAGGTTCACTCACGGGTGCTGAAACCAAGCGAGTACCAGCAATTTTAAAGGCTTTAGTAAAAAGGGAGGCTGTGATGGAAATAAAATTTGTCCCCTAAGTGATATCTTAGTACTTCAGATGTACATAAATGGGTCATATCACTTCCCAGGTATCGATTCTTCTATGGCTCCCGTTCACTAGACTTGTGAATTCCACCTGCCTTGGGGCTCTCAACTTGACCTGCAATCCTATGGTATCCTACGAGCTCACCTCAGTTCTTAGTGTTTGGAATTTGCTTCCCACATCTTCACCGGCAAAGTTGCTTGTTAAGATCGGGCTCAGAGACCATTTTCCCTCAGGATCCTTAGATACCTTATTAATCAGGGAAGGAACCTCTCCTTAATAGGATCCCCAAATACCGAAGATTCCCTCTATCCAGGGGACCCTTAAATCTGGCAAGTATGAGTTTAAGAAAATCATCCAAGCCGTCCTCAGGCCCTGTGCAGAGGTCGTAATTCCCTTGTTCTCAGCTGGGCTGGGGGTCTATATTTAGAGTGTCCAATTGACTCCACCATGTAGCCAATGCTGAAAGCCCCTCCTTACTGCAACCCTGACAACCCAGGGTGCCAAAAGCTTTATGGTCCTCTTCCCTGAGAGTGAATTTCTACAGAACTGGAATGACTTTGTGTAGATGTATATACCCCCAGAGATTTTAAAATACCAAGCCCTAGAAGGCATTCAGGGAGTAGCTTATGAATAATGAATGAGAGGCGGAATGAATAACGCCTATCCAGCCCAGCTTCCCACTCACCAGTGTTTAAAAGCTCCTGGATAAGTCGCAGAGTTGTTCGGGGTTAGAAATTATGGCAGAATATCAGAATCCGTGTGGCTCCCTGATGTTTGGAGAGAAAAGATATAGCCTAAAAGAAATGCCTGTGAAATCTGATAAAATGTGGTCTGTAAGAAAAACTTGAGAAATTTTAAGCTAAGTAAGAGAATGTACCAGGGTGGTGGGGGGATAGAGGTAAGAATTTGACCCTCGCAGGAACTTTGGGAGAGGGGCGAGTGCCAAGGTATTCTGCATCTAGAGATGGAGAGAAGTAAAAAGCCCTAATCGTGGGGGCATTGGCTCCAAAGAGATATGGAAGCTACCAGAGCCAGGAAGACACACACCTAGCATCACCTTCTGACCTGTAGTCAGGGCCTGAAGGTCAGCTAGCCTGGAGGAAAATTGGCCATGTAGGAGTCTGTCATGGGCATCCTGACACACAACTGTGTCTTGTCTGCCCCCTGAGTCTTCGCTCTGGTGTGCATGATAAATGCTGAGAGATGTTTAATAGGCTTGTGAGGTAGACTTCCTTCTCCCCAGTTTCACCCTTCAGGGACGTGGAAGGTGTGCTTCGAGTCATCCGCATGGATGCTTGCGGACTTGTCCACCCAAACAAAGCTTCCCATAGTGTGTTTGCCTGCTATGACTGGTCTGCTTACATACAGCAGATGACCTAGGAGTTGTGATGCCAGGCACGTTTGAGCTGCTGGCCTTGCTCCAGCCCTGTACACAGTTCCTGTTTGTGGAGGCTACAGTACTAAATTCCAGGGCTCGGTACACAATTAGGAAATTCTTCGGCTCTTTGAGCTCTTGGCTCTAAGCTCAGTTTGATCTGAGTTCAAATCCCAACTGTAGTTGGCCAAGTAAACACTTTGAGGGTCAAGGAAAGTTTAATACCTGTTGTTTGGCTTCGTTGTTCATGATGTCTACAAACAGTGGACCCTTCTTAGATCGCTCCTATGATCTAATCCCCTGTACACTGAGCTCAACACACCCATGTGAAAAGCATACAGTTAGGGATTTGAGTTTCCTCTGCCATTATCCCTTTACTGAGAAGCCAGAACTTCAAATGCAACTCATGAACAGCCTGTGTCTTACGGAGACTAATCCTTTGACCTTCCTCTAGATTTTATACCCTCCTTTGGATTTTTGACAGGGGAAAACATCCTATAACCCTTCTCCTTCAGCCTGCGGCTGCTGATAGCTACTGCAGGCTGGCATTTTCTAAATCACGAAAGCGAAAGTGGCTGCTACATTTTTAACTGACCTTATTCAAGAATCCAGTTCCACAACCCTTACCTCGCTCTCAAAACCGAGACATGTGTCATGAGAAGGGCTCGCGAGGAGGTGAGAGCAGTCAGCTGTGCCTGACCTCGGTGGCATTTGCTTATCCAGATGGGTCCCGCTTTGCCCTCGGTGAGAATGAGCTAGAGGCCCGTGACATCTACGGTCAGACCTTGTCTTAAGCATCTATGTCTAGTTCTTGCCAACTTATAAGCAAGTCAGTTGACTTACCTGAAGATCAAAAACAGAAACAAAAACTAAAAAACTAAAAAAGAAAAAGAAAAACATTAAATAGCAGATTTTTCACAGGCGAATTGGTGTTTCTGTCCTTTCTCTCTTTTACATCTATGATATGAGATAATTATAATGGCTGTTTTCCATCCCGACGTACTCCCATAAACACCCCGCTTTGTAAATACACATGATCTGCTTCCTTATAGTTTGTATTCATCTTACCTGTAAGAATCAGGTCTTCGTTAATGCCTGCTAAGAAAGGCTCTCGGCTTCCTGCCAGACTTTGTCTTGCTGGACCCAAAGCTTCCAGTGGATGACACCAAGTTCATCATTACTCTGCTCTCGTCTCCTGGAAAGGAATTTGCCCATTAGTACTGCACAACCCCAAACACTAAGAAAATGTGCCTTGAGGACCGGGAAGGAGAGAAATGCTCTTTGGTTTGGCTACTATAACGAGATGCCTTGGACTGGGTGGTTTAAACCTCAATCTCTGTACGGTGTAGTTCTAGAACAGGGTGCTAGCGTGGTTGGTTTCTTGGTGAGGCCTCTCTGTCCAGTTCTGTTGTCACCCTTGCTCACAGGCACAGAGTGAAATGTAGCCGAGAAGTAGGCAAAGAAGGAGGGCAGAGCAGCAGGTGGACGGAGGATGCTTTTTTTTTTCAAAATAAAGGCATTATTATTAATTCTCTTCCTTAGTAACCTCATTTAAACCTAATTATCCCCCAAAGGTCTTCCTTCAATGACTACGACCATCACATTTGGATTTGAAGACTTTGACATGTGAACTTGAGGAGAATATATAGAGAAATAACAGTGCAAAAAAAATAATGCTTAGTACATCCTTCTTCATTTCCTGTGTTAAACCAATCATACAGACTCAGCTCATTTCTCTCTCTCAAATTTGTCACCACTCTTTAGGGTAAGCCTCAACTCCTTTCTTATAATCAAGAAAATTAAGGCTCAGAGATTAGTAAATTTCCCAAGGTATTTTGTTGCAAAACTTGTACTCCGGTTATCACGAAGAGTTACAGGAATCCTTTTAAAAATAATATTATAATTACATTATTATTTCTTCCCTTTCCTATTTTGAAACCTTCCCATGTATTCTCTGCTTACTCTTGTTCAAATTCATGGCCTCTTTTTACTTTGATTGTTACATATATATCTGTATATATGTACATACATTATTTCTAGTTGCATAAATATAGTTCTGTCAGTCTAGATAATGTCACTCCTCATCTATGTTTTAGGGCTGAACAGTTAGTATTGAATAACAAACCGGTGTGCTCTTCCCTGGGAAGACTGTTTCTTCCACACTTGCCTTCCTGGGTTGCCTGTAGTTCTTTGTCCAGGGTGGAGTTTTCCCTCGCTCCCTGTCAGCGTGTCTCTCGGGGTCATCCTTGTTTATCTCACTTTTAGATTGACATATTGGTTAGATGTTATGGGTGTAGCTTCTGACATATCGAAGAGACAAAATGTCATAACAAACTCTCGTTCCTCTGGTTCTTAAATCTTTACCATCCCCTCTTTCAAAATGATCCCAGCACCTTAGGTGCAGGACTTGTGTTCTGGAGGCATCATTGGGATAGGGTTGCACAACTCTGCCTTTTGATCTGTTGGGGTTTTCTGTAATGTACTCTTGTCTGTTGCAAAGAGAAGTTTCTGTGATGAGGGGCAAGGACTACACTATCTATGGATAAAAGGACAAATATTTAAAATATAGTTAGTGATTGTGCTGGTTTAGTAAAGTGGTGGTTATGTGTTCTCCTTTAAGACCCGTAACTTCACTAACCCTGGAGAGTTGACTCAGTTTCTGGAACCAGACATGATCTCCCTTCTGTTGAGCATGACTTAAGTCCAGTTATAGAGCTGTTGGTTACCTTGACAGTATGCATGTCCCTTACTACACCTTTAGGGTTATTGTGTCATTGATGAGCATTGTGGTTCACAGGTGTCATAGATTGGTAGGACCATTGGTTGCTCCCTTTCTTTGGAAACCTGCATGATGTCTTCTGGTACCATGAAACCTAGATTTCAGGGAGGAGGTTTTTTAGGTCAAACCCAACTCAGGGGCCTCTAGACTCTGTGTTTGAAGTTCATGGTGTCACAGGGACTTACCTTCCAGACTTTCAGGAATTCTTGATTGTGTCTTTAGTGACCGAAGAAAAAGTTCTTCTAGGAAATGAAGAAACTCTTAATGGAAAGTTCGCCCAAATAGAATATTCTACCCTTGAAAGCTTCAAGGAGAGACTTGCCTAATGCCTTTGGATACAGAATGCAATGTCTCCTACCCCATATCAAGAAGGCTTTGCATCCATTTTCCAATCTGACTAGAAATGTAGAAGTCAGACATGATTCGAGATGTAATAACAATGAATGTCCCTGAGGGAGCGATTGTCCTGAGTGTGCAACATGCATTTTTCATAAGTATTATCTCATTTACCAAGACATTTACCCTTGCAAGAGGGATGCCACTCACTCATGTACTCAGGTGGACTGACTTCTAAATGATGTAAATTAGTCAGCTTGCATGTATTGGGAAGCCGGGAATCTGGATATATGGGAATAACATACATTGCTAGACAGTGTATTTGTATTACAGGACAGAACAAGGCCCTAAGTCTCTTGTTCTCTTTTCCTATTGGGTGAGTTCTTCTGCCCGGCAGCTTGAGGAGCGTGTAGGAACCACCCCGATGAACACGGAATGGCCACAACTGGCAATCACCGTGGTAGAGAACGCCAACCCTGTCCCCACTGAACGTCTAGCCGTTAAAAACAGAACTTAAAAGATACGAAGCACAGGGGGAAGTCCCTCTTGCAAATGAGGTCATTTCAAAAATAAAACATTCTCAGTCATCGGTGACGAGAGCTGAGTCGATCTCAGAAAGAGAAGTAAGACCTCTCCAGAAGTCCCCTCTCTGGCAACACTTCCCTAAAGCGTTACTTATTGTTTAGTTTACTAGATTCAGAAAAAAAAAATGAGGAATGATAACATCTCCCAGGCTGGATTGATGGGAAGGGAAAGGATTACCAACGTTTATTTGCTTTTAGTTGATTGCTGTGTGAAGATGCCAAATCAAACAGGTCATCACGAAGGGAATATATATAAATACTGACCTTGGATTTCACCACAACGTTGGAGCAATGACCTAGTCCAGTTTTGTTGCCCACCAATTGGCTTGACTCATTTTTTCTTTTTATTAAATAGTGGCTTACATTGCTTACTGAAAGCTGACCATGACAGCAGATCAGATCGTTTTCCGGGAACTGAGTAAGTTTAAATTATATAATGACCTGATAGCAGAGGACTTGTGAGATAGGGTCAGAGATAGGAAATGAATCAGACTTGGCAAGAGTCCTGCCCACTCCTGTTGCAGCTGCGTGAGATGAAGGGCAGCCAACACATTCCCTGGAGTCCTGTAGAGCGAACCAAACGTTTGTGTCTTTTCAAGATTCATGTGTTGAAGACACAGGCCCCAGAGTGATGGCATTTGCAGTTTGGAGATAATTAAGTTTAGATGAGGTTATGAGAATAAGACATTCATGGTAGGATTACTGTCCTTAGAGGAAGAGAGTGATCTGGCCCTCCTCCTCCTCTTTCCCCAACCCCTACCCCCTTACAAGGCTACAGTGGCTGTACGTGACAGCCTTCGTCTTGAACTTCCTAGTTCCAGCATTTGTGGTCATTTAATTTGGGAGCCTGAGTTAAACAAGATAAAGTGGGCATAAGTGTTTTCTAGCCTGAATTAGGCAGGGTTCTTTATAGGAAAGGAATCAATAAAGTGTGGGTGTGTGTGTATGTGTGTGCGTGTATATGTAGAAAGAATTTCTTAGATTGGCTTATATGGCAGGATTTGGGTAATTGTACAATGGCCATCTGCTCACCAGAGAGGCACAGAACCTTGCAGCTGCTTGGTCTACGAAGCCGGAGGCCTCAGCTGCCCCAACCCAATGGTGAAAGTTGGAGAGTTTCTGGTGTGCAGTTGCCATGGGAATGCTGGAGAAGCTGGGGGCAATAACAAAGATGCATTTGTTCTGGGAGGAGAAATAAGGGAGCCGGGTGCACACAACTTTCCCCTCTGACCTTTCTGTATCTGGGTCAGTTATTCATTGAAAGTTACCCACGTGGAGGGCAGGCCTTTCCTCCTCACTCAATCCTCCTTGGGAAATGCACCCAGAGACATCTCTAGGGGCATGTTCTTGGTGCGGGAGAATTGTCTGTAATCTGTCAATCATATCTTAAATAAATGCTGATTGGCCAGGCAGGAAGTATAGGCGGGAAAACCAGACAGGAAGTAGAGGTGATGCAATGAGAACAGGAGAAGGCTAGGAATGAGGAAGCCCATTCTGCCATTCCTGCCCAGACCACCAAAGAGGCAACATGTGAACTGACAGCTGAAAAAGGTACCAAGCCATATGGCTAACACAGACAAGAATTATGAGTTACTATAAGATGTAAGAATTAGTTAATAAGAAGCCTGAGCTAATGGGCCAATCAGTTTATAATCTTACGGAGTCCTGTGTGTGATTTTCTTTGGGGTATGTCGGCTGTGGGGTGCTGGGTGGGACAGATACACTAACAAGCAGGCCCCCCTCATGTTACATGTTCTCTTAGCAACTCTAAATCCTCATCAAGCTGATCATCAAAGCCTACCATGACACCGTCTATTCTTATTGGACCACTGGTACTTGCATGGATTTCTCAAAGTTGAAGAAGCTTATATTAACTTGGAAATATTATCCCCAACTCCAAAGTCAGGTATAATGTATATAGGAAACATTTCAGGAGATGACTTAAAAAAAGGTTCATTAATTTTCAAATGTGCATCAAGCAGCTTCAAAACAGGCTATGTAAAGCATGTGTTTGGGATGGAGGAGGCAGTCAAAGCAAAGGCAGGGCAAACGGCAATGCATCATAGTCCACACCAAATGCCAAGGGCCAGAAACTCATGACGCAATCACTGAGAGCAAAGCCTTAACCTGGTGACCCAACTCTATGTCATTGGCGGTGGCCCAAATCAGTTCAGTCTAGTGGAGAAGTCAGAGGAAAAGGTCATGAGAATGAGCCATCCTGCAGAAGGGACCGTCTTAATGAGGGTGACGTGCAAACTACAGTAGAGGGGGACATCCCTTGGGTGCAGAGCTGTGGCATGGTTAGGAACAGAAAGCCGTGATTAGTTGTCTGGTTTGGTGTGTTATGGGTGGTTGTATTTCAACACAATTGGAGTTTTCTCCTATAAATGGGTCCACTCAGTGAGCTGGCATTTAAGAATCCAACAAGCATACAGTAGTAACAAAAGATTCTAACTCTGTTTCTCATAAGACTTCATGGAAGACCAGTTTGTAACCTCAGGACAAACATCGCTGGGTGTATAGTCAGGACCGCTGGGGTCAAGACTGAGCCCCATGACTCAGGACACTCTTGATTCCATAAGCCTATTCCAGTATTCCTAGAATATTCATGCATGCTCATAATTGTTGAATTTGAAGCTGGGTAGCCTGAGAGTCAATAAGAAACTCTCCTGTAGAAAAACTATCTTCATCGCTGGCCTACCTTTGGGCTGTGAGTTAGGCCAAGATTGGGTAAATACATAGCCATGCTCCTGTTGCTGGAGAGAACAGAGCCCCTGACAAGCATAGCATCCGAGCAGAAATGTTCAGTGTAGCAAAGGGAAGAAGAGTTGATCAGACTCCTTTGGAGAGACAGGGTCACCCAGCTGGAGGGAGTGTAAGGAACATGGAACTTTCAGTTGCCAGTGGTCTCAGGGTGGCCTTGGAATAGACGTCTGGCTTTCTCAGTTAAACCCTTCCAGGACCGTCTGATGAGTGAACTGAACAAGAACAGAAAGAGCCAACAAGTTGGGCCTGACCTGGGCCCGTCAGTTCTCCCTCCTCACTG